TGCCTCCTGTCAACATTGTATACTTCTATTTGATGATTTCTGTGTCAAATATTATATGGAAATGTTTCCAAGTATTTTCTGTATTAACTGTGAATGAATAGAACAAAATAAATTGCCTGTGATGGAAAAAAAAAAAAAAAAAAAGAAAACACCCATGTTTTACAACAGTATTTATATAATCATGCATCTAACTTTTAGATATGCAATCCACTTAAAATTTGTTCTCTAATGTGAACCTAGGTCTTATCTTTCTCCAAATGACTACTCATTTTTCTGCCACTATTTATGAATAAATAGGTCCTTTCTCATTTGAAATAAGAGCCCGCAATTGTCATATGCAAAAGTCATACATGCTATACAGCCTGATGATGGGGTCTTAATTTTATTGTTCTATGTCTATTCCATACCTCAGTGTCATGCTATTAAACATCTCTTTATCAATGCTAATGCTCTGTGTCTCACATCCTTGATAGATAATATAGACACAGGATAGCCTTCCCAAAATATGGCAACTTTCTGAAAGGGCAGACATCTTGGGGAGATTTTTCTCACCTTTCTTGGCATGAAACATAGTCTCCTCAGCTCCTAAAGTTTAGTGGTGTATTATTGTTGCCACCATTACCCTTACTAATGGCACAGCAATGCCTGAGACCATTTGTAATCATGGAGAGATGAGTCATGCTCCTGATGAGTGTATAACTTGAGCAGGGGACTCTGCCCTCTTGAGTCTTTTATTTCTTATTCTGAAATTGAGATAATTTTAACTATGCCAGCAGGTTATAAGTATTACCTTAATGCATATAAAGTGCTTGGCAACAGGATTTGGTTAAAGATAAATAGTTATCCTAATCCACCTAGGCTTATCATTATAAGAACTTTTAGAATGAAAGAATATTCCATTACCAGAGACTCAAAAATTATTAAAAATCTCTTCTGTTTAGACATCATAATCAAAGAGATAACCACTTCAGGGAAATTAGGTACTCACTTTCACTACACATGGATACATATGTATATATGGGTATATGCATGTAGTTTTCTTTCTAAGGCAGCCCTTTAATCTTTTTTTTTTTTAATTTGGTAGAATTCAGGCACAGCACTCATTTCTGTTGTCCTGATTATGTGGCATTCTCTGCTGGTCAGCTCGGTGCTCGACTCAATTGTACAGGAAGCATTCAGAGGACTTCATTCTTCAGGACAGCTGCATGCCTTTAGTTTTGAAAACCTCTGTGGTGTGTGGTAAGTCCGTTTTCACTTTCTGTGTCCTAGAGACTGCTACTAGCCTTTCTGGGGCTTTTTTACAGGAAAGCACTTCATTGCAGAGCAGTTTTGCCTGCTGTCACTGTCAGATGGCTCTTTTCTGCACAGGGTTAATTTTGAGGGAAATAAAACAAAACTAAGTGTTTGTTTCTTAATTAGCTGTGCAGTGCGCACACAACTTTGCTGATATTGACTGTTTCTCAAAAACATGAATCTATTGTGGGCTAAATCCGTGCAGAGAATTCTCAACTATATTTCTTCCTTAGAAATGTGAGAATTCGAGTGCTACATTCCTATCCTTCCTTCCTTTTCTCTAGCCCCATGCCCCTTTATTCTACTTGACTGTACACAGAAAATGTTTTATTGGCATCTTTTTCTCTGATCTCATGAAACTTCTTCTTTATTAATACCCCTTGGCACCCAACAACTTCAAGTTGATAGTAAAATGCAAAGCATATTAATGATTTATGCATGAATAATTAACCAGACCAGAATAGTTCATTTCCTTTTACTTCGTACTCTGTCCTAGCAGCATGGGTGAATTGCCTGTTCCAAACAAGATGAGGTAAGGCTAAAGAGAGATCCATGAACCAAGAAAGAGGTCCAGCAGGGCTTGCTGAAACCCTTCTGTACCAAAAGAGAGAAAAAAAAACTTTTCATAAAGATGCTCAAGGATAGTAAGGGATCTAAATGAATATCTAACTTCCCTCTTATTCATATGGGAAAGGTGAAGCTCACTGAAATAAGGTAATTGATCCAAGATGACACATGGGCCAGACAGGTGGTCCAAAATTTCCCTGAGACATCAGGGTTATTTAAAAGGAGAACTAAGAAATACCATGTTTCTTGAAATTAAGATTTTTATACAGGTTAATGTTTAGTAGAATGTCCAGATTTAATATTAACATTTAATACTACCAGTGAGGGGAACAGTGTAAAAACACTTAGAAATACTTGCACAACACTCCTCTCTAGACTGAAATAGTTTTCACCTTAACTCTTGGGCATGTGTGATATATGGATCTCATGGATCAACAGAATCCCTCAAACCCACCCTGCATTCTCACTCCTTCTTTTCTGTGCTCGATTAATGGTGCATTTCCTATTCAATATTCTGGAATTTCTCACATATGACTTCAACAAAATTAACTTGTACTTGATTTTCACAAGAATCAGCTCAAATGGGGCTGGAGAGATGGTTCAGCCATTAAGAGCACTTGTTGCTCTTCCAAAGGACCCAAGTTCAATTCCCAGAACCCATATGGTGGTTCATAATTGTTCATAACACTATTTTCTGGGGATCTGATACCTTCTTCTGGTGTCCACGTGCACAAGGCACATATGCAGTGCACAGATGTACATGGGAAAGAGCCATACACACACAAAATTTACAAAGGGAACCTCTTAACTAAAGCACATTGTCAACAGGCACTATGTGTTTCTCTCTAGATCTTCAGAGACAAATTTTTGTTCATATCCTAATCAATGCTCAATATGTACATTTTAGTATAGATATTTTCATGAGTATCTGTCATTGATATGCTGGTCTTCACTCTGAATTACTTCGGAAAAATGTAATTCACTTGTCTGAGAAAGCTGAAGAAATAAACATGAATGAAATCCTTGATGAATACATGTTTAACCATCTTCTTTTTTGTAGTGTTTTTGTTTTTTAATTTTTTTCATGCAATACATTTTAATAATACTTTCTTCTCTATCAATTCCTTCCACAAACTGGCTCTTCCTAGTTGCCCAAACTCATTTTCTTTCTGCCTCATAAGAACAAGACAAAAAAAAATCAAATAGCACAAAAACCATGCAGTATGTTTTCTTTTGGCCAATTACCCCTGAGCATGAAGTCTACCATGGAGTGTGGCCAGCGCCACTCCATTATGGGAAAAAATGGATTTTCCCTCTCTCAGCAACTATCAGTATGAATAGCTTCTTGGCAAGGGGTGGTATTCTGTGCCTACTTTCCCTTCCCCGTTCTCAGTACTTGTCTGGCTTGGACTTGGGTGGGTTTTGAATATGCTGTCCCAGTCTCTATGAGTTCATATATGCATCAGCTTGGTGGTGTCAGGAAAAATGCTGTTTCCTTGGACACATTTACCACCTATTGTGTTAGTATTAACAGTAAGTTCATCCAACTTGTACGTTATCCTCTTAAAAACCCTTAGGTTTCCTCTTGTATTATCTCCAGATTTGAAAAATTCTTCTAAGCTTACAATTATGCCTTTCTCAAATAAGTTACAAGATTGCATGTCAAGACATAGCTTATTTTCATTATCAATTTCTGAAATTTTCATATTCTATTAGAGGAGGCTGCTAATGCATGGCATCTGAGCTGCTGAATAAGTTCATGCCAAGTGACAGATCTGTATTCTGACAGTATAGGGAATCCTATAATGCATTAAAATGTTTCCAATAAGGACTAATGAATGCATCACAGTTAAAAATAATTCAATCTGCATGATGATTGATTGGAGCCCGAAGATAGGCACAGGCAGCTAAGTTCCTTTACTCTGTCACCCAAGCGTTTTCTACGTGATAGAGATTAATTCGTTTTATTATGTTGATGAAATAATAATAGAGTCATAAAACAAAATAAACCAAGGGGAAGTTGACAAAGTATGTGTGTGATTAATTGCCTTAATAGAATATAGGTGCTGACTGTGGTGGTTTTTGTTTCCCACTGCTCATTTTTCAAAGTTTTCACACACACACACACACACACACACACACACACACACACACACGCACTCAACTCTATGAAAAAACCTACACTTTAAAGACATGCATTATAATTAATTTTGATTTTCAAACTGATTGGCTAAAACTCCCTCAGGCATTAGCGAGGCATATTACTCAGGTGTGGGTATTTCCGGAGAGAACTGAAAGAATAAGCCCCACCCTGAATGTGGATGGTACCACACCATGGGCTGAGTTCCCATGCTGAATATAAAGAGGACAGAAGAAAAGCTGAGCACCATGATTCATCTTTCTTTCTCTCTGGTTCCTGATCCACCCAGAGGTGAAAGCACAGCCTCAGATGCTTGTCATCATACCTCTGCCTCCATGGTGGACGGACCCCTCCCAAACTTGTCAGGGGTTGTCTTACAACCACGAGAAAAGTGATGAACACTGCAAGTGACAGAAGTAAGTACATAAAGAATTTTTTTAAAAAAAAATCTAGTTTGCATTTGAAGTCCGCAGGTACAGTACGACAGTTGGGTTGAGTCTGACACTAAAGTGATGTGGTCGCAAAGACCGTCAGAGTATCCATCTTAGTCTGACCTGGTTCCTAACTTTTGGAGGGAAGGAGGCCCAGATTTTGAGGAAAAAACACGAGGACCCTTCTAGTGATACTTGTCCACATACTTTCCTTTGCCCCCTATGAATTTCACATTTTTATTCTCACTGAAACTGGCTAGAGAAACAGCCTGTGGCATCTTGGTGGGGAAGGTAGAGAAGCCAGGCCTAGCATTGATGTAGGAATTGGCTTGACTTCCCACTGATGCATCCTCTCCTGCCTATTAGTAGGTTAAATAAATATATTGACTTGACATGATACTTTTACATATTACATGCATTAATTGTTTGCCTGTGGTACTTATTGCAAATATTTCATTTACCTACAAATTTTAGAAAGAATATTTGATGTCGCTAGCAGTATCAGAGACTCCCAAGTCAAAGAGCAAACGGAAGGAGTAGAAGAGTATCTTCCTCCGTGTAACAGAGCACACTGAACATGGGCTTCATTTGGAAAACGAAAGCACAGAGAATTTAGAATTGTTCTGAACGGAGTTCAAGGACAGCAAAAGGGAAGTGGTGTCTCCCCCAGATCCAGAAGTAACATTCTGTAAAGCAAGCAGGCCGGACTACGTGTGCTGGCTTCTTAAGATCAGGCATGGCTGGGACAGCAAATGCTGAGCACAAAGCAGTAATTAATCTTTAAACAATTAATTATTAAACCATCTTTACTATAGTAGACGCTTTCTGGCCTACAGCTTTAACTGTGCATATCTCCTCCCTAGAGCCATAAACAGTAAAGAAATCCAAAAAAGATGTTTTAAGTTTAATATCTGATTGAAAGTCGGTGGCAAAGCAAGAGATAGAGAGAAAGAAAAAGGCAAATTTTGAAAGTACTTGTGAGGCTGAGGAATTAAGAAAATATCCTGTGATTAAGATTGAGTGGGAGAAAGAGACCCCCATGCCTGCCTGGGACAGCGTAGCCTACCTGGTGCCTTGTGGCACCCAGTGGTCAGGTACAATTATGGTGAGCAAATATATAATTGGGTATAGCAGAGAGAGAGAAACAGAATGGTTCATGTCCTGTGGAAAGAGGCAGATCTGAAGAGGTGAGGGTGGTGAGGAGGTAGGCGGAGGTTGGTGGACTGCTTGTTATCTGGGGCCATGGTGATGTTCCAGCCTGGGATGCCACCAAGGCTCAGGTCTGGGTCCATGGCCCTAACATCTGTGGCTCTTGTTACTATTGAAGGCCAAGAGGATAGGACTGCAAAATTGGCCCCACCCCTTACTGCCCCAGCACTAGGGAGACATGACCCTGCCCCTCACTGGCTACAGCACTCAGAAGAAAGGATCCTACACCTTTCTTGGGCAGGACAATAGAGCTGACCCTATTCCCAGGGCATAGGTAAGCTGGTCCTGAGGGCGTGAGAATGGGAGAGTTGGCCTGCTCCCCTGGTCTGCCATGTGGTGGCAAGGGCAAGGGAAAGATGCCCCCTTGCCCCTTGCCACCTGCGGCAGGCAAGAGAGCTGACTTTCTCCTTTACCAGCTACAGGGAAAGTGGTACTTCACCTCACCTGGGCAACACAGTAGAGCTGACTCTGTCAATAGGGGTGTGGGTGTGGGTGAGCCAAACCCTGAGAACATGAACATGGGAGATCTCACCCTGCCCTTCATCTGCCATAAGGTGGTATGGACGAAGAAGAAAAGCCTCCTCAT